TAGGTATTAAAAGCAATTCTACTTTTATTAGGGTCACGATCCATACCTTGTTCTAAAAAGAACAGATTTCACTCAATTAAATTGAAGACGCAAAAGGGTTTAAACAAAATTTACAACAATGACACGAAACTGTCGAATTATCAATAACCTAACCTTCAAATTCAAAATCAAAATTCAAAATTGCCTGTGTGTGAACCTTCCTCGCATTCAACCAATCACGTGCAAGGTCAATCTGGTGACAAATTTAAAATACTCCTCCTGGTTTAAAAACAGAGTATAGATTAAAATATTAGGTTTCTTTTGGATGGGGAAAGAAATGAATTTTTAAGAAAAACAAAATACTGTCGTAAAAAGAATGCTTTTAAGATCTCAATAATAAAAAAAAAATGTTGGCATTCCATTTAAAAAAAAAAAGTTGACATCGTGTAGAGAGTGTCCTAAAACATATTACTGCCAAATATTTTGAAAGTAGTACCCATAGTGTGGCTAAAAAAAAATAAGGTGCTTACTCTGAATCTGGCTGTATATTAATGCTTTTTATAATAATAATAAATAGGATTAGGAATGTCGTAAATTGATTAATCAGTTTGGAGTAATAATATGTCTTTAGGTAAAGTGCCGATAGTGTAGAGAATGCCGAGTATCAAATTCTCCTCCTCCTGCATCCTAATCAGCGCCCATTATCCTCGTCCTAAACAGTAGTGTTAATTTGGAAACACCTGATGCTCTACAAATTCGCCACGTCAGTTAGTTAATTTATCGTCGCCGTTAGTTGGCCACGAGCGACTAAGATCTTACAAGCCATCTGGGCGCCGATAAACAATTGAGAAATAAAATGGTAATCAAGGTAATTGTATACGATGCAGTTCCCTTTGTCCCGCTGATGGCGAACAATAAATCCGACGCGGGGAGTTAATTTTTAAACCTAATTAGCATTCGTGGGCCGCAATTACTAGGCGATATTGCGGCCCGCATGAGCCCAGCTAATGCGGGGTTATGTTTCGTGTTTAATAATCGATGATTGATAATTTTAACACCTCAATTAGGAGGAGGAGCTCCACCTCCTACTCGGTCGGTGAATCCCCCACTGTCATTCCGGGAGGTATTAATCATTACCCGTTGCCGTTGAGAGAAGCCTTCGTAAACGACCACCTCTCCTACCGGGAAAAAAAGAAATCGTCCAGGTAATTGTGAAAAAATTCCGGCTACCTGGTCACAATGGGCGAAAACGCAACGGGGCGGTTGGTGGGTGGAATATATTTATGAGCGAGTGTCGCGATCTAATGGCGCTAGGATAATTTAACAGGGCGACATAAATAACTCAACTAATCAGCAATCGATTCAATTTCGTCCAGCGGGCGGCCCCCTCGCGATTTCGCATGAATTGCCCCGGTCCTGCCGACGGCGATGTTAAATTTCCGCACCCTACCAACATACAAAATGGATTGCCAACACGCCCACCATCACCAAAATTCAATGCCCGTGGTTTTACGTTTTATCCCATCCATTGTCTGTATACCATTTAAATAGTTAAATTTACATATACTCTAATCAATATTACAGGTAAAATAAAACTTAGTATTCCTGACGTTAAAGCATTGAAATCAGAAGAGAGGAATAATAAATAATATAAATATGGATTTTATTGTATACTGATCACTTTTTACCGGTTTCGCCTATTCGGCGTCTTCAGAAAAAAAAAACACAAAATAAATTAATTACAATCTTTTCCTTAACATAAATGTAAAATAAACTTACGTGTCTATCGAATACTTACTATACATAGTTTGGTAATAAAATAAAGTTATTAAAACGTCTATAAAACAGGTAAATTGCCGAAAAATGTTGATCCCACATTAATACAACAGACACATAGACAAATCATAATTGAGGTTATTTACGTCAAATCGCGCCAATTTAAAAGTAACCAAAAGTAGGGTACACACATCAAATCCCACTTATTTCGCTCTGTCCTTCTCTTGTTTCTACCTGTGATATATTTATATAATAATAGAATTTGGAATTGATGGAGTGAATTGATACAGTTAATTATGAAGTTGGCAACGTGTACATTTGGATACTTTTAAATTGGCGCGATTTGACGTACATAACCTCAATTATGATTTGTCTATCTGTCTGTTGTATCAATGTTTTTCGATAATTTACCTGTTTTATAGATGTTTTAATGGTGTTACAACTTACATACAGACGTAAGTTTATTTTTAATATTTATTTCAACTTGTTAAGGAAAAAATTGTAATTAATTTATTTTGTATTTTTAGAATAAATAGGCGAAACCGGTAAAAGCACAATAAAATCCATTGTTTAAGTGCGAAAACCAGTCTTTTTTATTTACAAGAATGAAAAGAAAAGAAAATTTAAACAATAACAATAAATAATATGTTTCTATTTAAATTTTTTTAAGATAAGACTGATTGGAAATATGTAATAGGATTGAAAGTGGAACAAATTAAGTTTCCGTTAGTTGAGTGATCGACTCATTTTCTGAGTGGCATTCTTGTAAAACAATGGAGACCGTTTGAACTATTTGGCCACTTCATCCGAGTGGATCGTGTGTGTGACGAAGCTTTCAGTGGATGACGAAGCCACTTCGAACGCCACCATCATTAAACTCTCACTTTGAGGCCTAATCGAACGATAAGTCAAACTCAATATCACCGTGAACGTCAAAGTAATGCGTCAGCAACTCGAAAAGTGTTTGAAACGTAACCGACGTTTGCATCTGTATTCTCGATTTAATTAGAAGATAGGCGCGAAGAACCGGTGCGATTGTTGGTGGCGGTCGACAGACGCCTCCGGGCAGTCACCGGAGGTTGTTTAATAACAGGTAACCAATTGTTTACGGCAGAGGGCACGTTCGCGTGCGCGCGACTTATTGTTTCACGTTTTCGTTGTGCTCGTAGAACTTCCACAACCTCCGACTTTGAATCATTACGACCCTATAAAAATGTCTCCAAAAGCATAAAGCAGTTCCTATTTACATTTCCTGGAAATTTGCGGGGTAAGTTTTCTTTGCGTCCCCGCCGCTCGTCAAGGTGCATTATCCAAGCCAATGGGCAGAAAGAGCGATATCGACGACGTCATTTAAAACCGTACGCCAACATCCCTCTACCGTTTCTATCCCGGGTAAATAATGCAAAGTCAACAAGTTATGTTCCAGCAAATCATATTTACCCACATTTCCCATATATTACTATATAAAAATTTTTGATTACTTCAACTTTCAGTAAAGAAAATATATAAAATAAGGATATATAAAATAAGAAGTCAAGTCCCAAATGTGTAAACGTATCTATATTTTATACATCATTCCATAAAGTTTGTTTGAAAAATAAAGGAAAAAGTTTGTACAAAGATAATTTAAAGTTAAAAACAAGATAGCGTTGAACAGACGAAACCCCCAATGGAATTCTACGGTGTAAGAGCAATTCAGTAAATAACTGCCAATTTTAAAATATTAAAAGACCGGTGAGGAGCGAAGGGGGTCCGAGAAAGAGGTAGATGCGTGGGCTGCTGGCGCCATGCCGAGCCTAACAGGTGATAACAGCTGAGCCAACCGCTCTGGCCGTTGCCCAGATCCAATCGCTCATTTTATACCTGCTAAACAAATAAATTCCGATCGGTCACTAATAAATACCGACGGCAAGACACCTTTCTTATCGATACGACGGCAATTACTCTTACGGGCGCGCCGCCGTGACTTACTTTTTCAATTAGTACAATGCGTTTTCTAATATCGGTTGGATTTTTCTTATTTCGAATCACGGTCAGATGACAAACAACAACGTAATTGTTTTCCGGGAGGCGTTCCAGAAATCGTCGTTCGGGCCGATATTTAAGTCGCAGATTACGTGGTCTAAGTCGCGGTCTGGTAGACTCGCGCACTGCCAATAAGTAATAAAATATGCGCTGGGGACTCCTACGCGTGTGCGTCCATCTCACTCACGTTGTTCTTCGTCTGCTCGGTTCGAAGTGCGCACATGTGCGAAAGAGAGCCCCCAGCATCGTCCCGGGTTCGATAACTGCGTCCAGGGTGTAATATGTGTTTGGGTACGTCGTGAACATGGGGGTTGCGAAAGAGTCCATCCTGTGGGACCTTCGGGTGGTTAAAGACGCACGATGTGGGCTCCAGGGGCGACCGCGGGGATACTTGACAGACGAAGGACGAGGGGGGCCAGAGAGCTCGACTACACACGTCGGCTAACGCTCGACATGGTTTCTCCGGCCGCTTAATGATTTGTCGCGTGGGTAGGCCGTGGAAAGTAGTATGCCATAATAGAACGATATTTTATATTTTCGTTGTTTAATTCCACTCCAGATGCGCCACGACAAACCACTACCGGTCACCTTCTACCACTTCACATAGTCCATCGTGTCCTTTTTATTGCGTGTCCGCATCACCTTCCACCGTACTCGTTTGGATCCTCGCCATACCTCCTTGCATTCCTTAACGTACGGAAGCCTGTCCAAATCCTACACTTTATTGCGGACCCTTCATGATTCACGTCTCGGCATCTTCCAAAACTTTCAATGACAACCCAATTATTATCGATATTATCAACTTTATTTTTCAATAAAAAAAATTCTTTATATTCGTAAAGCAAGGTGAGCATTGAGTTTCTGTGTTTCGATCATATAATCATCTTCAGGATTATCGTCATGCATTAAAATCAAATTGAGGTTGCGAAGCCGCACATCTCTTCTAGATCTTGGGTTAGTTCTAGTTTTGCACTAGCACTATCACTAGAACTAACACAAGACCTACAACTAGAATCATTCGGGTTTAGCCGTCTTAAGAGACGTGCGGCTAAACCCGAAAGTTTCTAGTTCTCGGTCTAGTGTTAGTTCTAGTTTTACACTAGCACTATATATTAGCATTATATATATGTATTTCTTTTATTTTGAATAAAATTATTATAAATCTTGAAAATAAATCTTTACTTTTATGAATCAATCAATGGTACCAAATTGTAATTAACGGGGAAACAATCGGCGCTTTCAATCTGAACGATCGTAGGTGTACAGAACGGTTTTTAACGCTAGCTCAGACTTAAGAGCCCTTGCTAATTGAAGAACCGTAAGTCTCACGTTTTGCCGCCGCCGCCGTTAATAGCGCCAACTGTTCGATCCTTTTGCAAATATGTATTAATATTTATGGTTTCTCTTAGTGTCGCTTGTGGGCGGTTTGCCTTGTGTTCACCCGACTATGAACAAGTTTCGATTTGGGAGCAGAAATGTTTTGCAAGATGAATTTATTTTATTGTAAATAATACGGGTTAATGTTTTTAGTTTGTTTGGGTGAAATATGAGAAATATTTGCAAAGGCAATAAATGAGTAAACAATTTAACGAATGCATAACGTTTTTTGATTAAAAAAAAAGAACAATATTTTATAAGTATAGTTATTTGGTAAAACTGCGTCTATTGATTCTTTCGTTAGCGATGGTTCATTTTTTTTTTAAGGCAAGAGAAATTTCTATTTGTTTTTCTCACGAACATGTAGTGCCAAATTACTATAAAGTGGTGGAAACCATCTTTCCTCGTTGGAGATAAGTAGTTCTTACATCGAGTGGTAAATCCAAGATATTTAACGGCTTGTTTGCCGAAGGTATTAATAGCCCCAACAGTTGGGCCTTTTGCAAATAGCCATTAATATTTATGGTGTCTATTAGAACCGCATGTGGGCTGTCAATCGGGTACACCTAAGATAGGCATCGTTTTCCTCCAAAGATGCACGGCTATTTTGGTCCAGAGTCAGAAATGTTGTTATTCTGTTATTGGGAAACGTCTGCGGCGGATATAGAAACAGGTGGAAAAACGCGTTGTGATTTCGGAGTTGAACGTATATACACATCATCGGAAAGACAACAAACGGGGCTGGGCGAATATTTTCCGATTTGTAAATTATAACCTAAACGGGCCGACGTGTAATTTATCTCCCAGTGGCTCGACTACTCGAGGAGCCGGCCGCTCAACAATAAGGCCATTATCATATGTAAATCTATCAGTAGATGTTACAGGTCCCATTACTTACTCGGTCTCATTGGCGCGGAATAACAATTTAATTCCCTTCTTTTACCAGGGTTATAATTCACGGCGTCGCGGAAGTTTTAAATGTAAGAGAGGAAGTTGGGGCGGCGGTTCGCAATCGATCAAAGAGATTTCTACAGATCGGTGCAACTGCGAGGCGGCGGACCCGGTTTGCCTATAAATCAACGTTTAAACCGCGCTCTATGGGTTCCCTTTTGTTTAACAAGTTCCTCCTAAGGAAAAATAGGAGCGACGTTTGTTGAGTTCGCACCGGAACATACATCTTCTCTCCGACTGCTGCAATAAGTGCCCACGGAATTTATTTCATAAAAATTGCATCCCCCAACGACCACAACAAATATTGGTTTGCACACTTCACCATCAAACGTGTTGATTTTTAATATACTGTATTCTCATAAAATTGGTATTAAGATTATGGATTGAAATTAGTGCGTGACGAATCGTGTCATCACAAGATTCGTAGTTTCAATTAAGGTAGAACTGTCCGGCGTCTTATGCAGATGACGCAGGGTTTCCAACTTAGCGGAGAACTAAACAAGAAACCGAGAATCGCACCCGCCGGCGATTAATTACCGCTCCGGATTCTTAACTAATTATCAAAACAACAACCAGACGTTCTCCGGTTGCAGATTGTTCTTGACCAACATCCTCGAATCAACACTAATAAACTAAATGCATAGTAAACGTTATTAAAACAGTTATTGAATTAGAAAATCTTTAACTATAATTATTATCCAAACAGTTTCTAAGGTTCCGGATTGTTTCCGTACAAAACGAGCCGGAAGTTTGGATTGTCTGATGTCGGGATGAAACTCTTGATGAGTTCGCCGGCGCCGATGCGTGACATCTGCGAAGTTTTAATTCGATTTTTCGAAAAATAAACACCCAACTTTAATCGCTGGTCTACTTATTCCTCGGATGGCCACCGGGTCTTGATGCAACTGGAACTAACTCGTAAACTACTGGAAAACTTTTATAGTTCCTTCTCATCTATCACTAATAAATTTTTAATTTTTTTTTTGAACATAAATAACACGGCGTAGTAAAAAAGTTATAAAACACATGTAAATTTTTAAAAGTAATTAACAACGTGGTGTTAAAAATGTATCTGAAAAGGCAAAATAAATAAAATATTTCCGATCGAACACATTTTGCTTTCATTTCGTGTAATAATAATAATAACTCCTCCCCACCACCGACGAATTTAAGTCGGTTTCCGTAAGATACCTAATTTGAATGAGTAGGCAGAGCATCTAGTTGTGGTACAAGTAGTGGTGGATAATCCTAAGAAGGCTGTGATATAGTAATACGGAGTGATGCTAGTAGTGTTAGGCTAGTCGATGGGTGAAGTGGTCCACGGAGTGTGAGGTGTGCTCAGTCATGCGGCGTCTTTAGTCCGAGCGTGCTCGAAGAAAACAATACCACGTGGTAAGGATGCTACCCTTGTGGCATCTCGCGGTACTCCTCGCGACCCTCTTTTCAGTGTCGACACTCGCTGTTAAATACGTTCCGTTTTGTAAGTACGATGAGGACATCATCAGGGATACTGTTAAGCTCTCGGAGGTTGTTCGGACCTCGAAGCTTGTGTTTTCAGGTAGAGTGGCAGGGAATGTCCTGCAGGACAATGACGGTAATATAACATTCGACGTTCTTGTGAAGAGGTTCTTTAAGGACCCCGGGGATCTAAAGGGTGTTCGCGAATTACGTGTTACCAAGAAGTTACACGATGGTGAAGGTGTTCTCTGTCGACAAATCATCAAGGTGAGGTACACGGCTATCTTCATAGGACACCAAACCGGGAACACCACGGTGATGCTTGCCTTGAGCCCCGTCTCCATCACCTTGAACAATTTGGAACGAATTAATGCGGCTAGTAAAGGTTAGTACAATACACAAAATTTTGATTTAAATCAAAATTTCAAAAAAAAAAAAATAATAAACGGTTTTAGTTTATTATTTTCTCGTCGAATATCAATCGTTGTTTATTCGTAACGAATTAATATGTCCCATAAATAAATATATCGCTGCGTGAGTAGATATTTATGATGTTTGAAGTGGGTCGGCGCAAAAAAATATACATGAGTAAGGACTAATTGTAACTATGGTGTCCGCGCGTCGCCCGTCATATGGAAGGGGTCATATGCGCGGTAAAATGGCCGTAAAGCTACATATATGTACAAAAAGTCATAAATTTTAAACTTATACCAGCGGTCCTTTTTAGTGCCCCGTGCGGTGCGCGGCCGTATTCAATATGCAATATCGTTTAACCAAAACTGCCCCGAACATTCTCTTCCACTGATAATTTACTTAACATAAAGCGATAAACCGTCGGCAATTCCTACTCATTTTTTTTAAACCTAACGCGCCACTACAATGTTTCTTTCGCGCCGTTTTACGGTTTCGGTTGTAAAAACGTCCCTTTTTTTAATTTCGGTTTGATTAAAACGTTAACGGGGGCCCATAAACAGTATAATGTGGCCAAGGACCTCCTCGCCGATACACTGAACGTCGTTAAGGACAGTAAATAAAGGCGCAAACCAAATAATCCGCGATTTTATATTTCCTTTATTTACAAAGGCGTGCTGACATCTGCCTCACAAACCAAATATCCGCCCGTAACTCGGCTGTAAATTTAGAAACAGATTAGCAAAATTATTCACTGTTAAATCGTTCAAAATTTAATTACTTCATCATATTTTTAAAATGGCGATTATATATTTGGTGGGTAGTCCCGCCTATATACAACTTTCTCCATGTATCGTGTCTTTTATTCGTCAATAATAATTATACGTTAATTTTAATACTATTTATTTTAATATTAACCACTTTCACCGTGTTGCACAATGAAATTTAAACATGATTATTAACTTGTATATTGGAGTTGTTATTGGAGTTGCTAACGAGTGGTGAAACAACGAGGTTGAGCATTGTTTTAGTTTATTATCGGGACGGCGTTAATAATCGGTTTTTATTTGCGTAGAACGACGACGTATTTTTCCAAATGATTTACGATTCGGTGAGACAGTTATAAATCTGCTGTAGCTAAGTAGGTATCAATCTAGTTTCATCACACCTATTATGCCATTATTCCGGAGCACCGTTATTATTTTTAATTTCTTTAAATAGAAGCGGTGCCGCGTTCATTAGAGAGCTAGCACACGGAGGCGTAGGAAGCAGTTTACAAACGTCCAAAAAAACAAAAGGCCTATCACCTTCCCGTAGTAACCGTTCCTTGATATAGACGAAGACAATGTTACGAGCGCGAGGAAATCGTATTTTTAGGTATAGTCGTTTTTAGACCCACCGAGGATAGCCGATACCATCGATGACAAAAATTAGAAGCGTAGGAGACGACTTATTTCTCCGCCCCACTGACATTTGCCCAAGAACAATATCGCCAATGCGCCTACGTTACAATAATACATTATTTTTACACAACTTACGTTGAAATGACTTATGGTTATGTCACCTTTCATAAAGAATGTGTGAAGGTGTTCCGATTATGCAAAAATTTTCTACCTGGCTCCGTTTAGGTTTTAACTCCATTGATGTGTCACTATTAGAATTCATTAACTTACTCGCTAAACCTGCTTTTAAAACGCACGCGTCTTTTCAACGCAACCTCATTCAATTAAAAACCGCAATAATCGACCTTATTTCCTTAAACGAGTCGTTTGCATTTCCGGCTTTCTTATACTTAATTATGTAT